CAACCAGCATGACAGCGATGCTGCCTTCCCACAAGGAGGGGTGGGGTTAGAAAAGGTCGACCCTAAAAATGCACACCTCGCCTTATCCCACGGATATCCGTCTCCGGCGGTAAGGTCTCAATAAGTACGGAGCTAACACAAAAATTACCCATAACAAGGTCGTGTGTGACCGACCTCAAGCAGTTGTCCCTTGGGCACTGCGGTCACGCTCTCAGGTCACTAAGACCACTTCTAATCCAATTTCCTTTTCAGGTACCTCCAGAACAACCCTTCCACGGTGTGGGCAACCGGGAAGTGATAACCGCCCTCATACTTCTAACAGCACTCAAGACCACTGTATTCATAATCAACCTCCTCTTCAATTCCTATTATTCCTCCTACATCGACTTTCAACTCTATATTCCTCTCTCGGCTTCCACCTCAAGTGTCACCGTAGCCAACGATTCTAGTGCGCAAAACACTGTCCCAGGTCTACTGAAACCTCGCTCCAAACTACACATTGGAGCCTTCAACGTACGCACCCTATGTCAAATCGGTCAGCAGGCTTCCTTGGCTAAAACCCTAGAGTCTCTTTCCATTGATGTATGCTGTGTCTCCGAAACACGCATACAGGATTCCAGTGTGGTCATTCACTTGACCTCACCTCGGCAAGACGGAGAGCCAACGAGATACACCCTTCGTGTGTCTGGTGACCCGATGGCAAGTTCTCGTGGACTGGCAGGTGTAGGCATAGCACTAAGCATGAGGGCCGAACAAGCACTGCTAGAGTGGATCCCCGTCAACAGTCGTCTATGTGCTGTTCGGCTGAACGGCTACGTAAGAACTCGGAAGGATAGGGACACACGTCGTTGCCTTTTTGTCGTTTCTGCCTACGCTCCCACTGACTGCAGCTCAGATGAAGTGAAAGATGAATTTTACAGAAAGCTGTCCGAACTTCTTCAGAAAGCTAAACGCTCAGACATAGTACTCGTAGCAGGTGATTTTAATGCTCAGATAGGCAGTTTAAACCAAACAGAAAGGCATTTAGGTGGATATTTTAGTATTCCGACACAGCGAACAGATAATGGTGATCGTCTGCTGCAGCTATGCTCAGACAATCGTTTATTTTTAGCAAACACAAATTTTAAGCATAAGGAGAGACATCGTCTAACATGGCGACCCCCTACACCAAACCAACGATGGACTCAAATAGACCATATTGCCATCAGTCATCGTTGGAGAGGGTCGGTAGAAGATTGTCGCTCATTCTGGAGTACCTGCTTGGACTCCGACCATGCCCTAATACGGGCACGCATCTGCTTGCGCCTCACTGGACGCAAAAAAGCCACATTAAAAAGACCCATTAGAACTGAGTTGAGTAACGAGAAAACCAAAAGTAGGTTCCAGGAACAACTGAGGTCACACTTAGGTAGTTGTGAAGACGAGGCTGACCCAGATGTTGCTTGGAAGGGCATACAAGCAGCTGTGGAAACAGCAGTGACATCTATTAGTGACTTAAACCACAGAGTTACAAGGAACCAGTGGATTTCTTCAAGGTCTGTCACACTGATGGATTCTCGCAAACTCGTCCCATCAGGTTCTGAACATGATGAAGAGCGTAAACAAATCAGATCTAGGTTAAGAAAAAGTCTAAGGAACGACCGTGAGCAGTGGTGGGTAACGAAAGCAAAAGAGATGGAAAAGGCGGCGACTATAGGGAACACAAGACAGCTTTACAGACTAATAAAAGAAACTGGAATTAATAAGTCAAGTGTAAGTGAGATTATTTCGGAAAAAGATGATACTCTCATCTGCTCCCAGTCCAGACGTTTAGAACGATGGGCGGAACATTTTAGAGAACAGTTCAGCTGGCCTTCAGCTACTCTACAACTACCCTCCATTCCCAGACAATGTGAATGGAACATTGAAGTAGGTCCCCCAACTCTTGCTGAAGTTGAGAAGGCTATAGTTAATCTGAAACGAGGAAGGGCAGCTGGTCCAGATGGATTGGCTCCAGAGGTCTTTAAGGATGGTGGTCCAATTTTAGCGATTAGGTTGACTAATATTTTAGCTAAGATCTGGGAATTAGACGTTATCCCATCTGACTGGTCGCAATCACTTATCGTCCCAATATATAAGAAAGGGTCAAAATCATCCTGTGACAACCACAGAGGGATTAGTTTAACAAACATAGTATCTAAAATACTGGCCTCGATAATTATCAAACGCCTAACTAAGACTCGTGAACTACAAACACGAGAGAACCAAGCTGGCTTTAGACCTGGTCGTGGCTGCATCGACCACATATTCACCATTCGTCAGGTTCTAGAACACAGGCATACCTATCGGCGTCCGACGATGGTGGTCTTTCTTGACTTAAAAGCAGCATTTGACTCTGTAGACCGCGAGACTCTGTGGCAGTGTCTGTCATTGAAAGGCGTACCTCAGAAGTACATAAACCTTGTGAAGGCTCTTTACTCGAACACTACTAGTCGAGTCAGGGCTTATGGCGAACTGTCATCTACTTTTGCAACCTCAAGTGGTGTCCGTCAAGGCTGCCCACTTTCTCCATTTTTGTTTAACTTCATCATAGACCTATTGATGGAAATAACACTCTCGTCGACTGAATTCTCGGGTATTGATCTCCTTCCAGGAGGTCCACTTATCGACTTAGAATATGCAGATGACATAGTCCTGTTTGGTGAAGACGCTGACAAAATGCAGAGTCTTCTGGTAGCACTAAGCAACAATGCCAGAATGTTTGGGATGCGCTTCTCTCCCTCTAAATGCAAGTTGTTGCTTCAGGACTGGTCTGCGTCAACACCTGAACTAAGGATAGGGAGTGAAGTAGTCGAACGAGTTGACAACTTCACTTATCTTGGAAGTCTGATCAGCCCTAATGGGTTGGTGTCTGACGAAATCTCAGCACGGATTCGTAAAGCTCGTTTGGCTTTTGCCAACTTACGTCACCTTTGGCGGAGGCGAGATATCCGTCTATCAATAAAAGGACGAGTATACTGCGCGGCTGTCCGTTCTGTTTTAATTTACGGCAGCGAAACATGGCCCTTAAGAGTAGAAGACACCCGTAAGCTACTAGTATTTGACCACAGATGCCTTAGAAATATTGCTGGCATCTGCTGGGATCACCGGGTAAGTAATAGTGAGGTTAGACGCAGGGTATTAGGGAATGATGGTAAATCAGTTGATGAGGTTATGAATCTTCATCGACTGAGATGGTTGGGCCACGTATTACGTATGCCTGAACACCGATTACCGCGACGTGCAATGCTAACCGGTGTAGGGGATGGTTGGAAGAAAGTTAGGGGCGGCCAAACCAAAACGTGGCATCAGTGCCTGAAGTCACTAACTTCTAGTCTGAGCCATGTTGGTAGATGCAGACTACTTGGTTGGGGTCCGCGTGACTTTCGTAACCAATGGTTGGAGACCCTTGGTGACATGGCTCAGAATCGATCACAATGGCGTCGGTGTATACACTCTCTGTCTTCTCTTAAACTAAGAGATTAAGATCACTTCACATCTTTCTTTCTACGAACTAATTCTTTCTTCCTATACTATATCCTTATTGCAATCTTTCTCCTATATATTACCACTGCTATGAATCCGGTGTTCATCTTGCTGTGCTAATGAGGTATGGCAACCTGGGCCGATGCATACATGTGCCTGGTCCTACGTTGTAGCTGACTGACTGACTGATTTTGTACTTAGCTTTTTATACCACTGTTACACAATATATATAGCCGTGATATTGGATAAGAAATTACATGGAGAATTATATTCAAATGGAGTCAACAAAATGGTAAAGTCTATGATAATTGTGTATTTCAGTGAGCTATTTACATGTTTGAATTAACTTTGGTTTTAACGACAGTGTCTGCGTCAGTTTATTTTACTTTTACTATACTTACCCAATTTCTACCTTTCTGGCACAACAACCAATGTATACGTCAAATTACTCCAATGTTTACACGTGCATACATACTTGTACAACTTTAAAATAAAATTTTAACACTTAATTGGGGGATTTTATGTCACTTCTCCTTCTTAAGAACTCATAAAAAATAATGGAATCAGAAATCTTGTAACCTATTTTTCTTAACAACTGTAATTCAACGATATTTTCTAATAGAATCCTTGAAACAAGCCCTTCTTGCTTGTAAACTTGTATGTCTTTTATGTGACTTTCAGCTACTTAGTAATCGTTTCAAGATCCACAGATTCAAGTTAACATTCTGAGTCACATCAACATTAACAATTTTATTGTATTTTGTTTAACAATCCTAAATTCACATACTTTAAACGATGTACTTTGCCCTTAACCTGGTCATTTTTCGGATTATTAATTTGGATATATAACTGTAGAACGTGGAGAGAATTTATCGAAAGAACATTCTTCGTTTAAATACTTAGTAGTCAATTACTGTTATTATGGTCAGTGAGGTGAAATCTCCAGGTTGTTAAGCATCCTTTATATTTTTACTGACCACTGCTGAATTTATGAAATAATCTATAGAAATACGAAATGTTCCATCATAACAATAATAATAATAAAAGTTTTCATCACTATAATTACCGCACAGATAATCAAACAATAGACTTGAAAATGAATGATTGGAATTTTGCGTCAGTATTAATTTTATACACAACACAATATACACCAATATATGCGGAAGAGAAATAATTAAAATGATTTAGTACTGATTGTTTCTCATCACCTTCTGTTTATATTCTCTTTAATATATCTAATTATTTACACACTTCTCATTATGCTATTTTAATAACGTTAAGTGATTATTATTGAACTATTAACTAGGATTTCTATTATTTATATCATCACTATCGTTGTTACGTCTATCTACTTACTATTAATTTGTAGTTTTTACTTACTATTTCATTTCTTTAGTCCAGGTAAATTTAACAAACAACTTTTCTACAGACTGACATTGTATGTGTATACATAAGTACTTGCCCTAATATGAAAATATACAACAACAAACACCTTTCATATCATAAAGTCTCTTAAATATAAGACAAAATAGAAACAAATAATTTAATGAACGAGGAGGCTGTAGAGTTAATTCAATAACCAAAAAAATGCTGATGAAAGCATATTAAGCAAAACCAATCCGATATTATAATCAATGACTAAGAACGGTCTCTAATGTAAACAAATTATTTTAGATGAAATAATAATGCAATAATGAGAATCATAGTAATATAACAATGCAATGATTGTCAATAAATTTGTGTGACTGAACGAGAACTTTCTAGTCGTGTTCCAGTTACTTTAAGATACTGTGTTATAAAACAAAAGTAACATGAATAAAGTTTGAAATAAAAGGAAATAATTTAATTCTGCAACAAAATGATCAAGTTTGGTTAAAATATACGATCAGGAAACAGAGCCGGTGCAATCAATGTCCACACATAAATACCCAAACATACCCAACTGCTCACAATACGTACCCAAAAACCAGCTGAATTGCTGACTAGTGTTTTCAAATCATTTTGTGGCTTTAGCCAATTAGTAAGCATGACCATAACATACAATGTAGCCAGTAACATCATAAAATGATACATAAAATAGTTATAAGCCACACCATTTTTTTCATTATCCCATACTTTTTGACCATCACGTCCATTGTCGTCATCAGCACTAGAAAATTGTTCTGCCAAAGTTGTATCTTCTGTACCCTACAAAAGAAAGGCAAAAGTATGAACAAAAACAAATTTAATTTCTTAAATCGACTGGAAGCAAACAGATGTTATGTTAGATATTTAGAACTAATAAAATAGAAAACTAGGATTTGTTTAGTTTTCTTCGTTAACACTTACAGTTTAACAAGGCTTGTGTCGAAACATGAACACTTTGTTGATGATTAATGTTATTCGGTGCTATGGACAGTAGGACTGCTTTTAAACGATAACCAGAAATACAACTGGTATATATTTCTAGCCATAAAAACAAGGTAAACACTCATAGGTCTAATGAAAATCTAAATATGACGCCATTTCTACTCTAGATTGTCTTATACTGACTTAATGCCCACACATTAAGTTGACACACGGAACGAGCTTTTCTTTCATCCTTTGAACTAATGTAATAGTAGTCTGTAGAGAGCAATAACCCAATTGAAGGATACCACATCTTTCTAATCTATTTAGTTTATGATAGATCAGTGACATACAGTACAGACCAAGAGGCTTCTTGTATAACATATTTAACATTCGAATAATAAAGCAGACTTGCAAAAAGATGGACTATTTCGAAAGAACTTAGCAGGCTTTTAACACAGATGATACAGAAGTGACATAATAAATAAGACTAAATATTTTATTGGAATTCAAGATTACTCGAGAACATTTGGTGCTTAGTAGATAATTAGAGATGTCAATGTCAACGATTTTACCAAGACCAAGCAAAATTAAATTACGGGAAAACACACAACATTAGGTTAGATTTTACTGAATTGGAAATAACTCATTTTCACCAGAATCAATTGTAGGTGGTAATACATACTGACTAGATTCGTGAACTCATATGTTGCAAAAAGGATTCACGTCGTTACGTATAGTTAAGTGATGATGAAGATGTGTCTCATTAATGAACTATGGCTTTCAGCCACCATCAATATGACCACTAGCGATAATACGTTGCCGCTAGACAGAAGTAAGCGTTGTGATGTTTGAACATGTAACCTAGTAATTCAATGGCATGTTTTAATTTGCTATCGTAAGCCTACTTGAAACTGCCAGTATAGTCGAATCACTCCAAGTCCAGAAAGTTAATCGAACCCAATAACTTCATATAAAGATAAAGAATAAGAAATGAAAGTACCTGAGGGAATTTTAACTACATTTATCATGAGCACGATTACTAGTAACCCCGAGTTCATAAGTGGTAAAAAGGAACGTACAATAATGATTAAACATTATATAAGTGTAGAATAATACTGCAACTGTTAATCAAGGTTAGCTATAGACAAAAATGGCGATTTCCAACGATAAGCCATTATTCGAAAAAAATCAAATAATATGCAAACCAAGTCAAAACACTCATCCACTAAATTCAGCATCAATGTCTACATTTAATAGGACAACTCATTTCCATATTGTTTGCTTTCGTAGATTCTTATCTAATTTTATTTGACAAAAACATCTATTGATCTACATAAATAGATAATTCTATTAATCAAAGATGACCTAAATAGTAACACTATATACATATATGCCTACCAATTAAGAGACGAGTATACTGTGCAGCAGTTCGGTTCGCCGTGTACGGTATAACACTTGACTTTTATCCAAACATGTATAGAAGTGGTTTACTGTAAACTACAAGAGTAGATCGACAGCCACAAATTATTTTATGAAATTCCTTCACTGAAACAACGACAGCTAATCCTTCCTTTTCTATTTGACTACATTTTCGTTTGGTTGCACTACGAACTCTTGATGTTATGGATTTTTCTTTATCATCAGAAAAACGGTGATTAATAACAACTTCGATTCCATGGTTAAAAGCATCAGCAGCTGCAGTTATTTCAAATTTAGGATTAAGCTTTATCAACAGTAGTTTTGAGGATAATATTCTTTTATTTCGCCGAATGTTTACATTTAAATCCAGTTCCATGTTGCGTTAACTACCAAGGGTTGGTTTAACGGGTATCGTAACACGCGCATTGAAGATATAAATAGGACACAGTATACAAGCATTTCCAGGAACGAAGTGTGCTAGAATCTGTTGGTCTAAACACGTGTTTGATGGTTTTTACACTATCCGGAATTGGTCGATGACCATCTTTACTAAATATATACTTAAGGTACATAACGAACTAAAGCAAAAATTCACATCTTTTTTCTTTGCAATTAAAAACAAACTTGTGATATTTTGGTATGCTATATATCCGATCGACCTATTAGTTTCTCAGAGATTACGGCAACAATTACAACATAATCCGAGTAAACTGCCAAATTTTGCAGATTAAACAAGGTAATATCCATTATTTGCTGGGAAATTTCTAGCACTGGTTTCACACCGAATGGTAACCGGTTATACTGATAAAGTCCACTATGAGTATTAACGGCTAGAGACTCCTCTGATTTTGTATCAACTTCTAGTCGCAAACAGATTTTAGATAGTAAATAAATCTTTTGTTAGATGTAATGGATATGAGTGATGCTGTAAATCATAAGCAAAACCAGTTGAAAAATCTACACAAGGACGAATAGTTCTATTTGTTTTCTAAAATACGACAACTTGAACTACCCATGCTGAATAAGTAACAGTTTGCATAACATTGAGTTTCGCTAGTGGGTCTGATTCGTTGTCAGCTTTATCTGTGACAAGATACGGGGATCGATGTTATGGATGAAAAGCGGATTTCACATCTTGTCGTAGGTATATTTTCAGCTTCCCAGTTGTGCGCTATCCCAACCTATTCTGAAACAACTTTGCATGTTTTCTGAAGTCATGACAAACAACGGAAGCTAATTTTCGAGACGTTATTTCACTCAATTCAGCGCTTGTGAAACACTAGCATTTATTTTTATCTTTCGTTTATTCTACAAATCATAGGCTTTCGTTTGACGTGCGGTTCACTGCTATAACTCATTCTTTTCTAAAGCCAATGTAATTTAAACGTGGCCTTTTGTACTCTATTTTCCTACCCTAATGTCCAGTTTCGGACATAATTGCGTTTTCTTAGCTGTTTGTTCGTTGTGGTCATGATGTAGTAAACAAGAACACGAGTGGGGACAATCGAATGTGTTTGAACACACAATTACAGAACGTCTTACTAAAATCTGAGAACCATACCGTGAATAGTTAATTTGCAAAATGTCAACCAATTGTCTCAAACTTGACTGTTTCTTTCGCAAATATCAGTCTATCGTCTCAGATTTAATTGTTCGTGCATTTTCATACCAATCGCCTTCCATTTCCGTTCTTTATCGATCTTCTACTGAAATACATTTTATTCCTAATTATCGTTATATACTACTTGTGTGGATATAAGTAGCTTACACCACAATGATAGTCATCTGTCTAGTCATTAATCGGAGTCGGGATCGAAAATAAGTCGAGTAGTGTGCCAGTTGACTCGTCCTTTCTCTGTCTTTCGGTTGTAAACCAATCAGGTGATAGAACAGTTTTCGTCTCTCTACCCAAGGCCGTTAGTCTCATTTCGAACTCAAGCATACTAGCCTCAAAGTTAAACAAGTTAGCCTATCGTTCAAGGATTTAGTTAAGATCAATACAAGCTACCTTTCGTAAATAATTGGACAGACAGATCAAGAGCGCGGCATTTTCCAACGTATTTTACTGTCAAAACTGTCTTAGTTGCGTAAACGATTTAACCTGTCTATTCAGTCAATGGCAGTCAAATCGAAGTCTCGTCTGTACGTTAGGTAATAATTTTCCGTGAAATAATTACTGTGAATTTGAAAAAAGCATTTTAATTATCCCGATCGACTTTAATATAACTCCGGATGGATCGCTGGCTGTCTGGTCGGTAATACTTGTGGGCAGCTCAATAAATCCCGTGTTTCCTTAGAGGTCAGAGCGATATTTGACGCTTTGTAAAACTGTAATTGAATATAAGCACTGTCAATAAGTTCACATATCTTTTGCCAGCTATACTTATTGCAAATGTAGCAAATACACTTTTTATGAATTTGATACAAGGGCTTTGTTGGTCGTGATCACGAACTCTTTCGACTGGTATTGGCTATACTTCGTGCTGTTTTGTCTTTAGACCGTCTTAACATTAGAGACAGTATGGTTGGATGGAAACGCACTATTAGTTTCCATAATGATTGTATCTTGTTCTATGTTTATTAGTCGTTGATGTTCTGTAGTAACAGATTGGAGCTTCATCTCATTATTATGTTTAATCTGGGACAACAATCGTGTGAGAAAATTGGTATGTGTGGAAGAATTCAATCCAGAAATTTAGCCTGAGCACTAGCTAATACACTTAACTTGAGACGCTCTGCTTGCACATTCAGCCTTCCGACATACGTAAGGTAACTTTCGTTAGCTTCTTTTGTCAATGGTAGACAACTATAACTAGTACGAGATTACAATACTTGTTTATAAAACATTTTATCAATAATGTTAACAGCTTCATTAAAATACAATTATCAGGTGTTTCGGCAGAATATGATTTGAGTACTTTTAATGCTTAGTCAGACCAAGCATTTTAACAGTAACTGGATCACTTTTGAGTTATCTGAAGCAGTACATTTTACCCGGAAAAGGTCTTTCATTTTGCCAAACCAGGCTTTAAAAGTATGTCTGCTATCTACATCAAAAACAAACCGCAGAATTCAACTGAGAAGTGGTTCTATAACTTTCTGTTCTAGGGCGCTTCACTAGTAAGAACCAAATGAGATTATTCATCGACCGAATTCATTTTTTAAAACGTTACTCGCAATGATTTTTAATCAGACCAATTGTCACATTGGATACCAACCAAAATTAAAGCAAATAAATCCTGAATATCACGTCAAAAAGCACATACAGTTAACAGCCACAATAGTATATCAATATGTTAACTAAACTAAATAAGAGGATAACAACAGGGTTTATTTACTGATCATACAATAGCGGTTTCTTTAGGCAATCCAAATGACAAATGAAATACGGATTTTAAAGAGAAAACGACAAAAGTATGAAAATTAGTAAGTGAGATAATTGACCATAACTAAGTTCAAAATAAACAGTAATAATCCCAAACGTATAATCCCAGAGGCTTCGAGCATTAGTGATAACATGATACTCGGTTTGTGCGAAAATTGCGTCATAATATCTATATTATCGAGCTAATATTCAAAAAGACATAGAGAGGAAATGGAAAAATTCGGAAAACGAGGTCCATGGTATGGACGACCACTTGTGATCCAATTACGCAAGGATGATGTACGACTAAAAGGCCGATGGATCAAAATATTGTGATCGACGTCCTCCAGTATACTTTAGTGGTATATATAGGGTAAATTACAACTATTACTAGTGGTATCGAATTTGCTGGGTTTTCAAAAGAAAACATGAGACAATAAGGATGATATTTGGAAATATATATTCATTAGAAACAACAAACAGTTGGAGTAATTTACGATTATAGGTAGAATAAAAAAAACAAATAAACACTTACGGAAATAAGGAACTTTCCAGCTGATGTTTTTGTACTAGATCTTAGGGTGGAGTAAAGAACAGAAAAAACGAGCACTATTATACCGATAGCAATATGTCGATCGAACTTCAAAACAACTGAACCATCCTGTGTATTTGTACTGTTTGCGATAGTTAGGGATGGGTTGCATACTGGATCGTGACCATTTGTTAAACCAGACCATGTCAGGAAAGTTACATAGGCAGTAATCATCGAGGACTGAAAAGAATTATGTCGTTAAGTTACATCAAAACGATATATAATTGGTAATAAGAATAATTTTAATCAACATAATAAAATATTAGGTGAAAGAACTATGTATTTTGAAGTGTTCAACTGATTACGAAAACTAATGAAGAAAATATTTATTTATTTGTTTAAACAAACATTGGTACAAGGAAGTGACAAAACTATAATTGCACCACACAAGTCATTTGATTTTTATGTGGGCTGTGACACTGCCCGGGTGCTCAGACCGAAAATATAATTGAGGAAAAATGTGAAATTTTTATGAACATTTTTAACTGTGATCAAATATTAAAAACGCTAATGTGTAAATCAAAACACATATAAATGTACAATACCTATCAATTATATTTCCATCAGGTTTTGCTTATATGGATTCACCTCTCCCTCTCGAAATGCTCTTACATGTCCACGCGTATACAGTCACTGCCAGGGAAGTCCAACTCACTGACTTCTCGCGGCGGGGTTGTTGTTTACGAAATTGAGAGGACGAAAATTGAATGCCCGATGTTTTGACCAGGTTTGTGGATATGGAGGATTTATTTATTTAAACAAGTAAACACTGGTACAAGGAGGCACCAAATAGATATGCGCCACACAAACCATTCGATTTGTGTGAGGGCTAGGATACTGCACGGGTGCACATACCAAAGATGGTTTTCTTAGGGGGTCACTCCCCGAGCCTCTGACCTAAAAGTCTAATCTACAAGGCAGTGTAGCAACCTGAGGAGATGCAGTCCCATGGTAGCCGGTGACCAACGAATGGTTCACACGCCATTTGTTCACTCAGGATCCTGAAGCCCTTCTACACCATTGGTTTGGAGCTGGGGTTTCTTAACTCCCCTAGGTGGACCATCCGTGTCCACTGACCAGGTTAAAGAGCCGGACATTCGCTTTTCGTCCTCAATTTCATAAACGACACCCCCGCTGCGGGAAGGCAGTGAGTGAAACTTCCCCGTCAGTGGTTGCATGCACGTGGCCATGTGAGAGCATTTTGAGAGAGAGAGTTGACTCTCCCCACTCTCGGCCGTACCAGGGCATTTGGGGGCGGATATGGAGGATCTACATAGAGGAGTTGGAAAACCCTGATTCCAAACCAATGGTGCACATGGGCTCCAGGATTCCGAGTGAACAAATGGTGTATAAACCATTCGTTGGTCACCGGCTACCATGGGACTGCATCCCCTTAGGTTGCTACACTGCCTTGTAGATTAGACTTTTAGGTCAAAGGCTCGGGGAGTGACCCCCTAAGAAAACCATCTTCGGTATGTGCACCCGGGCAATATCACAGCCCTCACATGAATCGAATGATTTGTGTGGCGCAAATATAGTTTTGGCACCTTCTTGTACCAATGTTTATTTCAATAATCACAAAGCCCTGTTATAAATGTCCTAGCCTGTGAATTGAAACCTAAAAATATAAATTTGATATAATGGTGGAACCATCGACCGATTTATAGAGGCCCGACTTAAAGTCGTCAACAGGAACCGTAATTCGTTCTTTGAGGCTCTACAACTGCATCGATTAAGGTAATTGAACTAAGTATCGCATACGTCCAGCCTTTTATTTAGAGTACCATGTTACTCGGAACCAAAGGATGGGAGAATGTAAGGTCTATATGACAAAAACAAGGGATCATGAAGACGTTGACTACTGACCTGAGTTGTAGTCTAGTTGGCTTTTCATGTGCGTTTCTGAAAATAGAAACCATGTACGATAATTGTTCAAAAATGGTTACCATATAAACATGTTTTGGTATTTTGTCTCGGAATTACTTTGCCTCAAATTACTGCCATTCGTCTATCTTTACTTTATGACCTGTCTCCGCATTTAGTCAACACATTTCTCTATAGTACATTAGACGAAGACTAGAAATTGCTAAACCAAAAAGATAGGACAAAACAAATGTTTTAGGTTTTAAATTGGACAAGAGCCGAACATATTTTGATAGATCATGATGACTTTCAACACCGAAAAAGTTCACTCACGGAACCTATACGCTTACATAAAGGGCCAACAGTTAGTAACACCAGACTATTCTAGTGTCTTGGTTTAACTATGGTGAGATTTCCCCCACATCGCTTCACACAACATTGTAGATTACAAGCGAAGCTAAAAATACTATCATATGAAAAATTAGTTGTTTGCTCGTGTCATGTTTTTTCACCCATACCTTCTATATTTAATTGTTCAAGATAGTTGGTTTTATTACTTTCACGCCTTATCCTTATCTTCTCAAGTTCTCTTAACTACCCTAATAGAAAGTGTGACAATTCAGACAAGTAGATGTTTTAGGTTTAATGATCCTTGTGTATCCTTGTCTACGTAAAAGCTTATGTCCATAGTCGTTAACTCCGAGTAAGCTAGTAGTTCTTTCGAAACAAAAACAAGATAGGTCATAAGGCTGCTTAGTCATCCGATCTTCCATGATGAGAACTACGCCGTGACTATAAAGTAAATAAATACTTTAATTGTTGTAGAGTTTATTAAGTATAATAGTAATCTCACAGTTCAATATTCATCTCACCTGTAACAAGCCAGACTGTGGCATATATTCTTGCACTCTCGGCAAAATTGAAATAACTGATGCAAGGAAGCAGAAAATAAGATTAAGACTGATTAAAGCCTTATTTAGTCCACAATGTGGAGCACTTGCGTAAAAGATAAACAGGAGTATAATCCCAGCGATCGACAATGAATTAAAGAGAAAAGTGAAAAAGATCAGACCTAATGCATAACACTTTTCTCCACTTTCTTCATACTGCGTTAGCCAGTTCTCGTTCCATGAGTGAGCAAAATCCACAAGAAGAATTAACTGTATGATTATGTACAAACTCCCACCAATCATTCCGACGTACATCCATAAACTTGTAAAACCTTCCACGGGTATGAAGAATGCACCAATCAATAAACCAAACCAACAAACATACTTAAAGAACCAAAACCCATTTTGTAATTTCGCTCTCCAGTCCATAGATGAGTGAACCCGGATCATAATTACACAGAACACAAGATAAAACATAGTTGATGCGAAACAAATACGGTAAACAGCCCCGAAACCAGTAATAGCATCACAATCTAGAGCGGCGTTTTGCTCCTTCGTAAATGGAGACAGCTTAAAAGGTGTACAAAGTGCAGGGATTTTGGTTAGACTGTCTTTAACGTCAGGAATTAGAGCGATTACTGAAAGAAGGACTGTAACAATAAGTATAATACTAAACATCATTCGTGAAGACGTCGAAGACTTGCAACTAGGTAGGCAAGCACAGCACAAGCTAGCAGCAGAACTGCAAAAACAACAAGCGACTGAACTTACAATACAACCCATCACAAGGAATGCAGAGAGAAAACAACTTTAGAACAAAAAAGATATGTCTACCAAATAGCCAACTCAAAAAGTTGGCCGAGGGAAGTAAGGTCAATAACGAAGCTTCAACGTCCAACGGAATTGTGGAAAAAAAGTCCAAATGGTTCAAATGGTTGTGGACGGAATAGAAGAAGCTTTCGCTTAACAGGCTTCCGTGTCTAGTAGCAGGGGATCACTAAATCTTCCAGGCAGGAACCTAGGTATGTTAACAATAAAAGAGGAAAAAGAAATTGGTAAATCATAGTATCAAACATCTAGAGTAACTGAGAAACATGCCTAAGAGTAACGCATGACTTTCAATCAGTTTCAGTTTCAGTTTGGGAAGGACAGGAGGCTTGGTGGTCTATGTTAGTCTTGGCAATGGTGGTCTCTCAGTTGATCCAGCTTTCTTTTGAAAGAGTCGACGGATGGAGCCTCAACCACGTGCTGAGGTAGTGAATTCCACTCGTTGATGATTCGATGGGAAAGTCGATAGTCAGCTGACAAGTAATTTGTTCTCGGCTTATGACCTTTTTTGGAATGTCCTCGTAAATTCTCTGTTTTGGAAGACAAAAAAATGAGGGCATATTAGGTGCAAATTTATCACTAAGCTATTTGTAGACTGTAATGAAGTCGCCTCTAGTTCTGCGATATAACAACGGGAAAAGGTTTAGCTTGGCCAATCGAACTTCACACGGAAGCTTCGCTATCCCGGGAATCAGCTTAGTCGCCGTTCTCTGAACCTTTTCCAGAAGCTCACTGTCTTTTTTTAAGCAGGGGCTAGCCGCTTGTATGCAGTACTCAAGTTTAGGACGAACGAACACTGTATACAAAGTCAAAAACGTTTTAGCGTCAACATGACTAAAAGCTCTACGTATTGACCATAGGGTTCCAAAACCTTTGGCGGCTATTGCACGGCAGTGTGCAGTAGTCTTTAAGTCTTGGCTAACGATGACTCCTAAGTCATTATATGACTGGACGACAGGTAGCTCAGTGTTATTCATCGTGTTTGTATCTGTACCTTGATGATCACAACACACTTGGAAGTATTTATCGGCAACTGCCATGTTTGAGACCATTCAGATAACTTCTTCAGGTCATTTTGAAATTCTAAGCTATCACTCTTACATCGTATCGTTCCCAAAATCTTGAAATCGTCAGCATATAGCAAGACTGAAGATGATAGGAGACAAGGAAGGTCATTTACATACAAGAGGAATAGCACTGGCCTCAAAACTGTACCCTGGGGCACTCCACTAAGCACAGTTTCCCAGCTAGATAACTTTGAGTTCACCCTTACTCTTTGTTGACGCCCAACTAAGAAGTATTTTATCCACGTCAATAAATTGCCTCCAATCCCGACATTTCTTAACTTATATAACAGCCGGTTGTGCGGAACTTTGTCAAAAGCTTTACTGAAACCAATGAAGGCGACGTCTACAGGTAGCTTTTGGTCCTTAAGAGCGCACCAGCTTTCAAGAGCGACTAATAAGTTAGTGAGACAAGAATAACCTATTCTGAAGCCGTGCTGCTTCTCCGAGAGGATCCGGTTTTCATCGAGATACTTAAACAGCTCCTTCTGAATAATCTTTTCTAAGATTTTAACAACCACACTAGTTAGGCTAACGTGGCGGTAGTTCTCAGGTTTGTGTTTCGTACCTGTTTTGAAGACAGGACTTACTATGGCGTTTTTCCAGTCTTTTTGGTAAACGACCCTGCGTAACAGATAGGTTAAAGCATGTACTTAAAGGGCTTGCAACGAAGTTAGATAATTCCTTCAGTAGCCTAGGATGTAATTCATCGGGCCCCGTGGATTTGTAGAATTATGGTCTACTATGATATTGGTACTGCTCTAATAATAGACCCAATCCTAAAATTGTAGATTTGTCATGATATAACTGCCTAATCTATAAGATCTTACATGGAAGTCACATCATCGTCTACACCAACTCACTGTATCGTAAAAACTACCAATACATTATGTAGAACAACCTTAGGCTAGAGATAGAACAATATATTTAATCTGAATAAAAGATATAAGGTAATATTCAGTAGGGATCACGCCTGCACGGCCGAGCCATGCCATTCGATTAACTCCAGTCCATTCAGTTCATTGTTCGCGCCTTCTCCATCGTTCGGTATTTCCCCGCGTTAAATATTGAATATCTATTTTCTGAGCAGTCTCGTGTTCAGCTTTGTGGATTGTGTGGTTATTGTCCAATGCCACTACAGATTTACCTATGCCAAGCTTATTTAGCAGACCAAAGACATCGAGTTCTTTAATGGTCACGCTATCCAGTGTATGTATGGGGGATCTGTATACGCTGACGGGAAGGGCGCTTCTATGGTATATACGTTGCTAAAGTAGTTCGAGAACACTTGAGCCTTACCAAAGTCGTCTTCCACTAATGATGAAGCAGTACTGTCTCCCCATAGAGCAGGAATATTTCCTTTTCTCCTTGTCCTTTGGTTTATATAGGAATACAAGCGTTTAGGACATTCTATGGATTCCTTAACAAGTTTTCCTTCGTACAATTTTCTAGACTTACGGAGGGTCGAGGCACAAGTATTCCGAGCCTTTCGATACTGAGATTTTGACTCATCAGTCCCCAGTAACCTAAATCTATCCCACATTTTCCTTTTCTTACGGAGAAGGATACGGACCTCCCTACTGAACCATGGTGGTGAGTTTTTCGGCCCCTTTGGTATAGTCCAAGGGATGTGAGGTGTGGTAACTTTTAAGTATGAATTTCGAAATGCGTCCCAGGCCGTTTCAATGGAGGACTCTGGGTCTATTGTCCAATCTATTAACGATGCTGAGTGCATGATGTCTGGTATGTTTGCTTTCCAGACGTTGGGTCTGGACTGGACTGGACTGACGCGTGCTCGTGACTGGCAGTTATATGGAAGTCGAAAGTTAAAACTGCGTGGTCACTTTTACCTAGGGGTGGCATATGATGGAGGTTCGCAACATCATCCTCATAGTGAGTCAGTATAAGATCTAATAAGGATGATTCAGTGTCCGCGTCGTACCTTGTCGCTTCTTTCACATGTTGCACTAGGGCACATGTGATAACCCCATCAACTAGTTCCTGCTCGAAGGAATTTTCCGACGATTTAGTTCGCAGATTTTCCCAGTCTACCATAGGTGCATTAAAGTCCCCTAGGATTAGACATCGACCACTTTGGGACCAAGTATTGAGACTGCTTAACAGGATCTCATTTGCCTCACAGCTTGGACTGCGATAGACCAAACCAATCAGCAGCTCTTGTCCCTTGCATTTTAAGCGAAAACTAACTAATTCACACGTCCCACTCTCATGGGATACACTATCGATAATGGCAAATGGGATAGCATTCCTAATGAATAGAGCTACTCCCCCTCCTTTGCGCTTTTGTGTTCTGTCGGCCCTTACTAACGTAAAACCCTCGAAATCAAGTTCCATACTATCTATAGCCTGTGTCAGCCAGGTTTCTGTTACTGCGATTATGTCTGGCTTTGTAGAGTCAATCTGTACACCTAGTTCCGATCGCTTATTAAGTAAGCTTCGTGCATTGGTGTAACAGATCCGAAGCCTGTTTAAGTGCCTTCGTGCTTCACCCAGAGTGGCTTCGGCATCATTCTCTGTCGAAGTCTCACAACCCGAAAATTTACAATTTTCAGGTCCTTTTCGCCAGCGTCTAACCTAAGTTGTAGTTCTTTCTCGGCTTCCCGTCTTTTAACACGGTCTGCCAACGGTAGGTCCTTTCGGATAAAGACTCCTGAACCCTTTAATTTGTGTCCATTCTGAATACTACTTTAAGCAGTCTAGAATGACTTGGTTTCGAGTCCGCTAGACTCCCTAATTTGTACACCTTTAGCAAGGTGACCCCAGACATATTTTGAGGCATGAGTTGATTAAACATATGCCCAATCAGTACAATGTCATGCTCAAAACGAGCTTTAGTTTCAGAGCTCTCGCTCTCCTTGATTCTATGAAAAATAGCAGACCTGTCGCTATGATCAGCTTTCGATTTTTCAACCACTCTTACGGGGGCAGGTTTCCCTTTTATATCCCTACTTTTCTTCCTTACAACCTGTACCAATTCGTCAAAAGTTTTGGTAGAAGCAATAACAGTTGCGTCGAACCTAGTGTTGGATTTTGGGGGGTTGTCGACGACCTGAGAGGTCGACTTATGTTTACCGCATGAAACCGATCGAGCCTTGCGATTGCGGCTTCTAGGTGTTTCCTGTATGATACTGTCCTAAATCCTTAGGAGTAGATCAAGCTGCCTCCTAAAGGACTCCTGGGAAGTCGATTAGACTAGCTCGGCCGGCAGCGAATTCCAGCATTTGAAAGCTCTTAAGGAGTAGACGTTGTGTCTACAATCCGTTCTGCTATGTTGTGTCTCCAATTTCTGCGTGTTGCCCCTTAGGTTTGTGTTGGAAGTAAGCTTAAGTAGGTGTTTAGGGGATGTCTAGAAGTGTTAAGGTTACTGTAAGCCATTAGAAGGTCACCTCTAAGACGTCTATACTCTAATGAGTAAAGGTTAAGTGAATGGAGGCGCTCTTCGTAAGGTTTAAATTTAAGTCCTCGAACTGATTTCGTGGCTCGCCGTTGGATACGCTCCAGAGTGTCCTTATCCTTTTGAAGTGAGGGAGGAAATACTATGTTTCCGTACTCGAAATGGGGACGAAGAAAACTGTTGACGATGATGTGGAAAGTTCTTCCGTCAAACTGGCCAAAAATGCGCTTCAACGTTACCAGTGCAAGGTTTACTCGGAAGGCATTTTTGTCACAGTTAGCGTAAGACTTTAAATCATGGGGCACCAGGACTCCTAAATCTTTTTCGACTTGGGATACTACTAGAGAGGAGTTTTCTAAGTTGTAACTGTAGTTTGCGACATGTCGCAGATGGACTACTTTACACTTCGAAGTGTTAAGGGTAAGTCCGTTATCGTCTGCCCAACTTCGAAGTCGAATCAGGTCCACCTGAAGTGCCTGTATATCGTCTTGGTTGTGTATCTCTCTCCAAAGTTTCACGCCGTCGGCAAAAAAGTAATAAGTCTGACGTTACCTGTTGAGGAAGATCA